TGATTCGCGAATAGACGTCGAGAAGGAACTGTTGAGAGAGCGAGACGTCGGAAAAGACGCCGCGAAGGTTCTGAAGCCACTGCTGTGACGTCATGCGGTTCTTGGAGTTCGTGGGCGCGTGCAGGTCTGTGTTCAGCATTATTATGGCTAAGAAAGAGAGAGTCACGTGAGAGACGACAGACGACACGACAGATGTCTTACCGAACGACAGAATGAAGACGGAGTCACGTGACAGACCGTCGCCGGGATTGCACTCAACGAAGCGCGTAGCAAACGCGTCGACCATTCGCTCGATCTTCTGTGCCTCGCCTGCGGAGAAATAGGGATCAGAAGGGATGCAATATTTGGCGGATACAGACCTGGGAAGCGGAAGAATGTCTGAAACTTTCTCAAAGCGGAGTCGACTTGAAGACCCGATAAATCGATTTCCGCGGCGAAAGCGCTCAAAACGAGGCCATTGTTGGGCTGCGAGAGGTATTCGCCAATCATTGCTTTGGAAACGCCTTTTCTAGTGAGCAGAAAGCGCGCGACGAGTTGTGATTGTTGTTCACTATTGTCGACGCTTTCGATGAAAGAGTTCTTCAGAAGGAACCGAAGGCCGCGTTCGGGAGGGCTGTGGGCGGAGTCAGAGGTCAGCTGACAGATCGCTATGACGTCACTCACTGTTTGTTGAAGAGGTTGAGTCCCACGCGATACGAGCGCTTCCGCTGACACTCGAAGGCCTGCGAGGACTGCGTGGAGGCGCTCGCGAGCAGCGACTCCGGAATGAAGACCGCCGCCGAGTTCTGGGCGGAAGAGCTGTCGTCGGAGCGCGTGCTCTGAGTGTCGCTCAGCGACGGCTGTCGTTCCGCCTGTCGTCGCGTCGTCTCATCCGTCGTCTGTCGCAGCGCCTGAATGGCGATACTCTTGAAGCGCTTCTGCAGACGGTATGTGCGGAACGCGCGCTGTATTCTTGTGGCCGACTCGCGGGCCACGAGTCCGCCGTATTTCCGCTCGAGAGCGTCGACGCGGCGGTCAATGAGGTGTTGCGACAACTCATAGCAACAGTCCTGTGGAACGACTGTCGCCGTCGTCTTCGTCGTCGTCAGTGTCGTCTGCGATGACGTCGACTGTCGGCAGGCGTTGGACTCGAAGCTGAAGAGAGAGAGAGAGTGTTAAGCGAAAAAGTGGCGGAAATACGCGAAAATGGCGCCAAAAATGAGAACAAAAATGAAACACAAAATCATTTGTTTTCCCGAAAACAGCGAAACATCTGTCACTCGAAGTCGCGACCACTGATTGGTCAGTGAGTGCCGCGACTGCGCAGTCGACGCAACATCTGTTCGTTACGTCATAAGAGTTCGCAATTAATTAGGTTTTAATTGCAATCAAAAGAAACGCTTTTTTCGGGAAATTCGGCCAAAATTACTTGAGATTCGCGACGTCTTGGACGCCATCTTTGGATCCGTTTCTGCGGAAGAAGAAGGCGTTAGTAGTGGACAGCCGTCGGAGCGGACAGGACTGACCTCTTGGCGGCGACCTCGAGATGAGTGCTGCACTGCAACTGAAAGGCGAGCCTCTCGTTCTCCCCCAACAGGGCGTCCCTCTCGAGCCTCAGGAGCGACACTACGGGACGAGAGGACGCAGTGATAGGCAGTGGATGCGACACAACAGACGACACTTACGCTCGTTCTCCAGGCTTTCGATTTTGAAGAACTGGCGCCGAATCAGAGAGTTGTGTTCGCAGACGACGGCGCCCGCGGACTGCGAGCTCTTCGTCGACATCGGGAGGCGTTGGCGACGGACTCACGGCTCGCGACGCGCTGTCTCTGTCGTCGTCCTAACAGTTGTCATCTGAGGCGCCATTTTTGGGGCGTTTTTTGCACCAAAAATAACGGTTTGTTTTACTCCGCGGTTGCGGACGACGGCCACAGATGGCGACACTTGTGCCGCACTTTCGGCTCATTTCGGTCACAACTCTGCGCTTCTGTCGTCTCTTTGACGACACAATTGGCGACAATTTCGCGACGCTTTCGATGCAAACGATTGGGAAATGAGTTGAAAACCAAATGAAAACAAATCAGACTTTAATTGAATTACAAATAAATAATGTGAACACAAATGACGACAAAAGACGAGACAAACAAAAGTTTTTTGACGTAATTGTTTCAGAAGTCGCCGAAAAGCCTCTTCTCTGCCGAACGCGAGAGAGAAACGAGTTTTTCTGCCTTTGAATCGGAT